ACCTGGCTTATGTTTCTTACATTCCAGTTCTTCCTTCTGATTATTTACCTTTCACTGAATTTTCATTTATCAGTACTTTCAGTACTGAGCTATAAGAGCAATACTCTTTCAGTCTTTGTTGTCTAAAAATATCTATTTATCTCACTTCTATATCAGTTAAACTATATTAACATTCCCAATTATTTTTCAGTATGAACCTATTTCTAAATCATCTTGGGACCACGGTTACTTGTGTGAAAGTCTGTCGGCCTAATTTTTGTTACTTTATAAATATTTGGTGTTCCTTTTTTTGTTGTTGTAAAACTTTTATCATTGTTTTTCAGTGTTTTCTAGTTTCACTGTGGTATGTTTGTGTGAGGGTTTGTTTATATTTTCTTGTTTGAAACTCTGTGTGCTTTAACTAGAAGACAATTTAGTTCTGAAAAGCACTTATTCATTATCTGTTTGAATATTACTTCTTTCACTTCTGCAACTCTTTTAAAAAATTTGTGGTACTTTATCACCTCATCCCAAAGGCTCTCACAGAATAGCTGCTATCTAACTCTCTGACTTCATCTCTCACAGTCTCCTTGAGCCAAAACAGTCTTTAAATCACTCATACTCAGGTGATCTTTTCTGTCTGTCACAGGGCCTTTAGCAGGCTCTTTCCTGAGAAGACTGCTTGAACCACTCTTCTGCCAGTAAGCTCCCAACTCTTTCTTACAGAATGCTTCACTGACCTTTCTGATGGGGTCTTAGTCCCGTCTTATAACATCTTACATTTTTCAGAGCCTTTGAGCCAGTTGCGCTTTTAAAATTACTTGTTTAAGGATCTAGTCAAAGTCAGGCTCTTCCACTGGATTCCCTGCTCCATTCAAGCAGTGTTTTGTTTTTTATTCTCTTGGCATTTTAGAGGCACTCAGGAATTAACAATATAGAAACTAAACCAGGTAGGAAGCCCAAAACCAGCAGGGTCTGAGGTGGCATTTATTCATCTCTAAATATCAGCTTCGCTTCCCTCATCGTGGACACGTTTTCTCTCCTTTGCTGCAGTATTTAATACAATAATATGTGCGGGGTAGATACCTCCAGGTGAAATAGAAAACAGACCCATGAGCCAAGACTGTCTAGCTCTCACTTTCTTTTTTTTTTGAGACGGAGTTTCGCTCTTGTTACCCAGGCTGGAGTGCGGAGTGCAATGGCGTGATCTCGGTTCACCGGAACCTCCGCCTCCTGGGTTCAGGCAGTTCTCCTGCCTCAGCCTCCTGAGTAGCTGGGATTACAGGCACACGCCACCATACCTAGCTGATTTTTTGTATTTTTAGTAGAGACGGGGTTTCACCAAGTTGACCAGGATGGTTTCGATCTCTTGACCTCGTGATCCACCCGCCTCGGCCTCCCAAAGTGATGGGATTACAGGCTTGAGCCACCGCACCCGGCCTCTCACATTCTTTAGATAGCCTTTCACTTTAATTTCTATATAAAGCTAGAGAATATGCAACCAACTTGGTGGTCATTATGGATAAATTTTGTTTTTCCCATTTTCTTCTAGAATAACTGAGCAAGTTTTGAAGTAACAACCACTTCCAAAAATCTAATTGGAAAGAAAATGCTTTTGCTCACACTTAAACTGAAGGAGTAACCCTCGGAGCATTTACTTAAGAAATATTTGCTAGGCTCCTAAATAGTACCAATTGTTGTGTTAGGCCTTTAGAATGCAATAGGAAAAACAAAGAAGGTCTCTACTCCCACTGAGATTAGGGTCTTGCTGGGAAACATGATTCTGCTACTCACAATATCACTCAAAATGTAATTTAAAATAATGTGAATCCTTCGCATGAAAGAAGACAACTTGTGAACATTTAACACATTAACTTGACCTGTAATTATCTTAGGACAAGGAAGGTTTACTTCACATGTGACTCTTCAGCCAAGATTTTGAAAAGGTGTTAAGAGTTAACTAGACTAGGAGAAAAAGGAAGAACATATCAATAAGAAATATTAGTTTGTGCAAATGTTCTGTGGCAGGAAGCAGACTGGCAATTGTGAGGGCCTAAAGAAGACTAGAGATATTGGGAACAGAAACAGAGTTGAGGATTGAGAGTTATTTAGGAGTGTGAGACAGTGACTGGAACCTAAAAAGCTAAAGGTGCCAGTCATATAAGCTAAAGAGCCAATCATATGTTTAAAAATTGTGTGAGCTGGTTGGTTGTTAATCACAACAGTTATTAAAAGTGAAACTGAATAAACTTATAATTAAACAAATTACATTAAAAACCAAGGTTTTCTAATTATTCCATTACTTTTACTGATTTACCACAGTTCACTATGATTTGTGCTCCTGTTTATTGATGTATAGTATATCAATGCAGTGGAAACACTTTTTGATCGTGTGCTACTGCACATTTCTTCACAACCTCAGATTCAGTAATGTCGCATTACTAACCTGAAATCAACCACAGTGGGATTTTACACCTGAAAGTTGATAAACCTTTTGAAAGAAGACATTCTTACAATGCCAAGAGCCAGCTGATAAACACTTATCAGTATGCCATTGATTGAGACTATGCAGAATCGTGATGTCTGTCTTAAGAATTGATCTTTGGCCAGGCGTGGTGGCTCAAGCCTGTAATCCCAGCACTTTGGGAGGCCAAGGCGGGTGGATCACGAGGTCAAGAGATCGAGACCATCCTGGTCAACATGGTGAAACCCCGTCTCTACTAAAAATACAAAAAATTAGCTGGGCATGGTGGTGTGTCACTGTAATTAGCTGGGCATGGTGGTGTGTGGCTGTAATCCCAGCTACTCAGGAGGCTGAGGCAGGAGAATTTCCTGAACCCAGGAGGCGGAGGTTGCGGTGAGCCGAGATCATACCATTGCACCCCAGCCTGGGTTACAAGAGTGAAACTCCATCTCAAAAAAAAAATTGATCTTTATCACAGGAGAAATGAGCTGGCATCAAAAGGATTTAAACAAGGAGTTAACAAAAGCATATTTCTGTTTCAAAAAAAAAAAAGTCAAGACTACTGAAAAGGAAAAGGAAGCAAAGTGCTTTTGGAAAGTCCATATGGTAAATCATTCAGGCTCAGAGTAGGATTACAGAAGTGAAAATGGAGGAAAGTGGATAGATTTAAGATTTATTACTTAGGAGCTAAAATAGAAGGACTTGTTCTCCTGACCAGAAGAAGAGTGAAAGGGTGATATCAAATATAGTTTCTGGATTTCTGATTTTTCAAATGGGAGGTTTGTGTTGTCATTTGCTAAAATAGGAAACACTAAAGGAAATTTGTTGAATTTATTATGTTTGTTGAATATTTTGAAACTGTAGAGTTTGCAGACCTTTGAGATCCAAAGACTCAACCCTGGTGACATGTACCTGCCTGGTGGAATCAAGCACTTAAGAGCCTCATGACAAAGTAGAGTCTATATCCCGTCCAACGTCTAGATGCTTTTGGTGTTTTCATTTTGAGCCCAATCCTGCCACCGTGTGACAGAGAGCCAACTTCACAGTTGATTAAACTTAGACCTAAGAAAGAGAGGACAGAAAAATCTCCATATGGAATAAATGGGATGGAAATGTGTGAAATAAAGAAACTGTCTTCTTACAAAAACTCTTTTTAAAATAACCCATAACTTTTCCATTTTTATATGTGTATAACAGTACATGAGCAGTGGCTATGAGAATGACCTCCAAGACCTCTGAATGCAGAGAGTGTAAATGATGGAGGACCCTAATGCTGTACTCTGAAAGCCAGCATTTGAGCAGTGACCACACTGCTGCTCCCAGCAAATGACTGAACAGGGCAGAGATGCTAAGGTAGACCTGGGAGATGTCAGTCTCCCCAGCATCCTTGCCAAACACTCCTTAGAACTGCATTGTCTAAGATGCTTCCATTCAATGTTCCTGTCTTTACAATCTCTCTCCTTGACTTGGATTCTGACCTGAATTATGGTCTGATGCCTCTGCCAGCCTTAACTGAGTCCCTGCCTCCACTGCCTTGTGCCTGTAGTAGCCCTTGACTGCTGTGACTTCCTGTCATTCCCCTAGTGATAGTAAACATCTGCTTTTTATTAGTTTTGGGTCCTGGGCTCAAATAATTTTCTTTGACTTTCGTCAAAGTGAGACAGCTTTTGCTTCTACCCTCTCCCAGAAGCAAAAGATATTTTGTGTCTTAGAGGTTGAAGGGTTTCTTGCTACTGCACCAGCAAAGGTTCTGCTTTGCAAGGGAGAAGAGTCTGAGAAATGGATGGGATTTTGTGCCTGTGTGCCCAACAGGGAACTCTCTTCAGTCTCTCTCCTCCCCTTAGCATGAGAGGTCCTTGAAAAGGAGGCCATGAATGAGTGCAGATGATGATACTGTATCTGTGATTCCTAAGGATTCTAAATTGTCATGATAGCACATATCAAATGTTAATTAGCCATCAAAGTTTTAGTTGTTTTCTTTACTCACTCGGATGGCTGCTGCCTTTTTTTCTTGTGATTTTCTAAAGGTTGAACACTTGATGTCTTCTGTATATCTTCAGAGAGCTTGAAACACTTGACTGTTCAGTTCAGTTGGTTGCCTTGTGAGGGCAGGTCTCTGCTGATCTCATGAAAAGTTATGATTTGGCAGATTATCTGTCTTTTTCTAATTTCAAAATTGGAAGCAGTGTTCTCCTACAGCTTTCTACATGTTAAGCAGAAGGAAAACTCCCTTCGATTATTTTTAAAAATCAGTTATATTCCAATATCAGGTTTCATCTTTTATGGGTGGGTATAGCAGAATCAGGGATAGAATGTATACATCAATCGTATGTTATGTTCTAGGCATCTGAAATTATGTTATCAAACAGTTGGCCCTCTGTGTGATGGTTGCTATTCTGTAAATTTATTGACTGAAAACATCAAGCATCAATGGAATGCACAGTTCAATATCAGTTAAGGCTCCCATAGCAGATTTCCCCTAGACAGAAAGAAATTGTTTCTAGGATACTTTGTTTTGGGTCATTCTTCAACACAATTACCTTGTCCTTTCCACTAGGTGGTTGACCAGATTGACACCCTGACCTCTGACCTACAGCTGGAGGATGAGATGACTGACAGCTCCAAAACAGACACGCTGAACAGTAGCTCAAGTGGCACAACAGCTTCCAGCCTAGAGAAGATCAAAGTGCAGGCTAATGCACCACTTATTAAACCCCCAGCACACCCATCTGCTATCCTCACAGTCCTGAGAAAGCCAAACCCTCCACCACCTCCTCCACGGTTGACACCTGTGAAGTGTGAAGACCCCAAACGGGTGTTTCCAACTGCCAATCCCCTAAAGACCAATGGCACCCTTCTACGAAATGGAGGCTTACCAGGGGGACCTAACAAAATTCCAAATGGAGATATCTGCTGCATACCCAACAGTAACTTGGACAAGGCTTCAGTGCAGCCTCTGATGCATAGACCTGAAAAAGACAGATGTACCCAGGCAGGGCCTCGAGAACGAGTTCGGTTTAATGAAAAAGTACAGTATCATGGCTATTGTCCTGACTGTGATACCCGGTATAACATAAAAAACAGGGAGGTCCACTTACACAGTGAACCTGTCCACCCACCAGGAAAGATTCCTCACCAAGGCCCTCCCCTCCCTCCTCCACCTCATCTCCCTCCTTTCCCACTAGAAAATGGGGGACTGGGAATAAGCCACAGTAACAGCTTCCCCCCTGTCAGACCTGCAACTGTGCCTCCTCCCACTGCACCAAAACCACAGAAGACGATCTTGAGGAAATCAACCACTACAACCGTGTGATGTATGCCCTTAAAAAACAAACAAAAAAATCTGATTTTTTAAAATTTTCTATATTATAAACATAAAATAATAAATAATGAGCACCTTCTACTCGAGCAATAAAAAGCCCAAATATATTAATCCTGCATTCAGCAAAGTGGCATAAAAATCACCTGGTAAGTATGCAGCACATTGCTTATATCCTGGGTATGCATTATTTTAAATGTTGTATCATTAAAGACCTCAGAATGATGAAAAATATGAATGCATTGTTTTTGCAGTTGACCTATGACAAACTGTGAACCTGCAGATTTCACCTATTTTGATTTAGTATAAGAGCTGGGATTTGATTCATTTTATTTATGCCTAAGTCATCTATGCATTAACATGTCATATTCTTAACTTTGATCTAATGCTTTTTACTAGAAAATTTTAATACTGAAGGACTATTTTATTATTTTTTTCTAAAGATGTTTGTCACTAGTTTTTCATTATTAAATGCTGAGGACAATACCAAGAAGTTTATTTTCTATATTATATAATTATGAATTATATGCTCAGCTATATATGTAATAAAATATTTTGGTCTGTGGAAGTATCATTATATCAATAAAAAATAGTAAATAATGATAAAAACCAAATGTTCCTCAGAATTAAAATGAAGTAGTGATTCATTTAATCTCAGTTTAACATTCATCAGAATGGGTTCCAATCTGATGGAGTTTGGAGAAGTTACAGTGAGTGCATATCTGAATTTTCTAAATGAAATATCATATTCCACATCATAAATAGAAATTAACGCACTGCATATGTTATACTTCCATTTGGTACTTCAAGAACCTTCTCTTGAGCTCTCCCTATGTTGCCAAGCCATCCTCATATTCAGCATTCTTCCAGATGTACCATAAACTATTACATCGAGGCTGTGGGGTGCTTTGCCTCCTGAATTAGCAAGCTCTCTGCCTCCCCAAATGAATTCACATTTATAAGAGAATTATAGGGGAAAATCTAAATGCTTCTGGTATGAGGATGAATTTAGCATTGGCTGTAATCTTTTCCCCTTCAGAGCTGAAAGATACCATGGGCTGTTGCTGTCCTCTAAAAGAAAGAGAAGGAATCTTTCCTTCTAACATCAAATAAAAATCCTTCTCTTCAGTCTTATTTACTAACTTAAGAAAATTTACCCCCCACCATGGGCCAAATTTAGCTTCCAATTGCATTAATTTCAACTGAGAAGATATTTTGTCTTGGAGTTAGAAATGAGTTTCTCTCCTCTAGAGTTATGATGAGGACAGGTTCCTGAAAACGACATTGGTTCATTTAGTGGTAAGAGTAAAGGGAGTCATCTTTTGTGGAAATGTATTTATTGCACAACTTGATAAAGAATCCAGTGGCTCTTATGAACATTTAGCTTTTGATCTCAAAACTGTAATCCTTGCACAGGGAGGTAGCCTTCAATCATATTTCTTTGATGCCTTTTTCAAGCTTTATCATGGTAATTTGGAATAGTGTTTTTGACAGCTTCTTATTAAAAATGATGATAGATTTTATATGGAATACAAAAAGAAAATAGGCCTTATTTTCTGAAGGAACAATCAAATTAGTGAAAATAAGAATGTCATGTTAAATATTTAGTCAGAATCCATTATATTTTGTAGGTGGTGGACATGAAGATAAGGAAAGCAAAATAATCCAATTTACAATAATCAGAAAGTTACAAAACATAGATCCATAATCAAGAAAGGCCACAATCTAAAATTTCTTATCTGTATTATTAGTATGTTTGATAGATATGAGTCACATAAATAAATAATAGACATTAAATACCAAAATAATGTGTTCTTAACTTTTTAATGCATGTATTTAGTCTTGATATAAATAAAACCAGGGTTTATCATATTTCTATAGTTATAATTACTTCCTTTCACATGTTTACCAAGAGCTAGATCCTTAAATATTATAAACAGTTGTAGAGACATGCAGTTTTCTTTCTTCAACCCCTCTTGCCTTTTCAGCCAATTACTGTGACCTAATAGTCACCCTCTAGTTTAAGACCGTGACACTTTTTGATGTCTGGGAACCAACCTTGGTTTCGAGGTAGAACTTTCTAGCAACCACACACCACCCACAGAACAGATAATTTCCTTGCGACAAAGCAAGATGAATAAATTGAATCATTCAAGCTGGTTGATTAAGGACATTGAGCCAGAAGCCTAGAAACAACCGCAGAGTTCCAAATCCATTTCTCTTTCTCTAAGCACAAAGTTTCTCCATGAAAGATCTTATTTTTCTGTGTGATTGGTGATGTATGCCAAAACTACACCTGTTTTTATTCACAGAAATAACTAACTACTGGCTTAGAAATCTGAGTTGAATACCTTCCCCAAAATGTTATAGTTTTGACCTTACTAATAAGGACCTTATTCTCTTATGATAGTTTATTTATAATCAACATTTAATATCAGATTATAGCAGTGTTAGGACTTATTTTGAATTTATTTATTCCATGCTATTTCATTTTTTATTAATGCCTGGCATACATTTTGCCAATAGGTTTTCTTGCCCAAGTGATAATTTTGCAGCATTCACTGAAACTTAGTTATATTTTTACATATATACAAATTTGTAAAACAAAAACCAGTTAACATAAAGCATCATAATATTTGCCTGCGAACTTGTAAAGTGTCATTAGTGACAGCACAGTTTTTTGTAATCAACCAATATTGCTTTCAAAATGTAAATGTTGAAGTGTAAGCTCTACACATCATTCATTAAATTATCATAAAATATAGTACATATTTCCTCTTCCTAAAGACCTTAAACAGAAATGTTTTCCTCAGATATTTGAAACTGTGTTTGGTTAGCAATGTGCATTTGAATACTTTTATTTACACATAGTGTTTACCACAGAGCTAGGATTCATACTCCCTTGAAGGTGATGTTTCCACAAAATGTAAAATGGTAATACACTTCTTATGAAAATATCCATTCATACTGTAAACATATAACATTTCAAAAGGCATTAATTAAATTGGAATACACAATATTTGTGTTTTTTTACTTTAGACAAAGATTATCCCATTTTTGAAGTTTATTGTATTTCTACTGATGAAAGGTGAATATAAAATAAAAATTGACCAAAGTTGTCTTCCGTCTACCAATAGTTATAGCAGTTGTAAAGGGAAATAAAACACATTTTTAAGGTTGTGCTTAAGCCAAATCTAAAAATATCTTCACAAAAATACAAGGGCATACCAAAACAGAAATTTTTCACTTTTCCAATTTGATGTTATTCATTTATTCCCTCATTCATTGAATAATATTGGAAGAAATGAATCTATTAGCAGAAGTGGTTTAATTAACCTAAATTATCCTGTGTTTGAATTTTAACTGCATCCTAATTGTTAAATGAATAAAGGAATATGATACAGTTGACATGGCTTTCTGTGGACAGATCAGCATGACCAGGGCAGAAGCTACTCACAGTCTCTGAAACTATACAAGACCTTGAATCTATAGAAAATCTAGAGTCTAATTATAGCTCTTTTTTGGTGCTCCATGAAGAGAAGTCTGAGTAGTTCTGCATATAATTGCATAGGGAATTGTGTGATCAAGTCATTAATCACCACCTCGACTGAATTTTTTTCCATGGATTATATGTGATAATGTGATACTGAGTATTGTAATTATCCTGAAGACTTTGTTTCGTGCTTCTAATTCCCTGTCAGCAGCACATTTTGCTATGACTTAAGCTCCAAGTTGTAGCAAAAGATTACATTGTAATGTAGTTCGATAAAATACTGATGATTTCTAAGTGGGGAAAGTATTTATGAGCAATAAAGTTCTATAAAAAGGCATATTACAAAAGTAGATAAAGTGCACAGCATCTGATAATTACTAGACGTTTTCACAAAATCACAACACATTCTCTGGGTCACAATGTGTAACTGACACAGTTTAAATGTTTACAGTAAACGTTTTGGAGTTTTTGAATTCTTCAAGTTACATGATTCTGAAATACTGGTAGATGTGATGCTACAATTAGGGCACACAGTAGTGTTGAATGTAAAACTGCAGTTGGCCTTATCTTTGTGGAGTAGCCATTATGTAGGCTGTCATTTCATTTGAAGCATTCGGATGTATCATGCTGATCTGCTGGAGAAAAAAAACCTGAAGTGTAATATAAAGAAGCTTTTCAAATAGCTCTCTCTTTAAAATACAGTTAAATCAACATGGGGTATAGAATTGTGTGAAGACACAGGGAAAATAAGTAGGAAATGTTGCTTATAATTTATATCTTCTAGACTCATAGATAGACTGATATGTTAACTTCTTTCTAAAACTTAACATATCTCTAATACTAATATATAACAAAGGAATTAGTACACTTATTTATAAATGGAGAAATTGTACTCTGCCAACATTTGCTTCTTGGTAAGTGTTGGGCTGGCATTTTGTGCTGCAAGCATGACTCACCATGTTTTCTCTCTCCACAATATCACCATTTAATTGTGTTCTTCATAGCCCCAAACTATGTAAAGCTTTCTGTTATTCTGATCAGTTATTTTGATGCTTGAAAAGGGTTACCTAATGTTGTTTTGACATTCTTAATGTGTTTGATCTTAGCAGAATATGAAAGGGATTTCAGGCAATTTAGCTACCATCTAAAATGAATGAACTGCTGAATAATGCAAGCTTCATTTTTGCATGTATTATACCAGCGGCTTCACCTTTTAATTTTTTCTCTAAGTTCAAAGACTATTATTTTGGATCCTTTTTCTAAGAAGTTCTGGTTCTTAGAATTATGCCACTGACCCTGACTGTGTCACTATCATACACTGGTGTTTCATTTGTGAATTTCATCTATTTAACATTGATCCCTAGAGCCAAAAGTAGCAATAGATCTACTCCATGGATCCTCTAAAGAGTGCATTAAAACTCTAATGAAAGCATTTGTATACTTTTGTTATTAGGCTATGGATATGATTTCCCTCTATTTCATAACATAATTGTCAATTATCCTAACCACTCAAAGGGATTTTAGACCAGCTAAATAAAACAATATGTGTCTCGAGTGGGTCAGAGTTCGTGGCAGCAAAACATGTGCTGTGGAATCCTTATCAAGAGCTTACTTTATTCTAAACATTCTTCTAAGTTTTTTGTGTGAATACAAATA